TGTGGGCTGTGGCTGTAGGGCTATATTAGCAAAGGGTGCAGCCCATTCTGATGTAACTCAGCGTGCTGAGGAATACGGACGTTGAGAGAGAAAAAAGTAATTTATCAAGGGAAACAAATGATCAGTATTTAAGATAACAAAAAACATGTGATACACTTGAGGCTAATTACCAACAGGATAGAAATACAAGCAACTGGAAACACTGGTGTAGTCTTTCAACTATAAACAGCAAGGTCCAGGTTGTGCTTTCACCCATATTACATTAAAAGTCAGCAACAGATCATTTGCAAAATACTATTAGAGTGCATTGTTTTAATCTGGACCTACACAAAACAGTTTAGCTGAGGAGGGGTAGCAGCTCTACCAGATGTTTTGGGTGATAGGAACAAATTAAATAGATGTGTTCAAGTTTGGAGATCCTTTTTTACATCTTAAATATGTGCTAGCAATTAGAAGAGAACTAAAGTTATGTCTGTGACTGTTTCCTATATATAAATCTCATTAACTACTACTTTTTTTTCTTTCTTGCAGTACAGCTTGCAGGAATTCAGATATTGAGAGTATGTTTTCTATGTATGTGAAGTTAGGTCATTGTAAGCAAACAGATTGATCAAATTTGGAGTGCTTCTAGTAATTTTTTCCTTCCTTTGCTCCCTGTTATTTTTTTATGTCAACCCTAGGCTTTTAGTACTGGTTTTAGTCCTTTATTGAGAATAGAGCCTGTCGTGAGAGGAACTGGATTCTGTTTTCTCAGTAAGTACAGCACTATCATTAATAATCAGACAAGTCAAAGCTGTTGAATTTTCATTACTGGTGATGATGTACAGAGATTGAGGGTAGGTAGGGGTATTTTTCAGCCTGAAAAGTGAGTATATATGTTAGATTTCTTTTAAAATAATTGTTTTCTATATATCAAAATAAAGTACTGGAAAAGGCTGGACAAAAAAATATAACTGCACTGCCTATCTTTAACCAAGCTACAGAAATTAATTTTGAAAAAGCTTGTAGTTTTCAGCGATCATGATGCTATGTTAGTACTTTAAACAATGTCAGGATCTGAGCTTGATGCTGGCAGTTGAGCAAAGCTGTCTGCCCCTCTGCATTTCTGCCACGTTCCCTGCAAAGATTTTGCTCTGCACCAGCTCAGTCAGGCAGTTCCTCAGCAAGAGTCTGGCTGGCCAGACACTGCTCCCAGCAGAGATCTTGGGAGAGGTACTGTTGTTCTTTGTGGATGTGAGGTGTTATGTACCAAATGTCTTGAGAAGGAGTCCTGGTATTTTTCTGTATTAGAGAAAAGGCATCTTTTGTTTCCAGTCCCTCAGTATTATGGGACTGTATTGATTTAATTTCAGCCTGACTCTTCCAAACCATAGAATCACAGAATCATAGACTGGTTTAGGTGGGAAGGGACCTTTAAGGGTAATCTAGTCCAACCCCCTGCAGTGAACAGGGACATCTTCAACCAGATCAGGTTGCTCAGAGCTCCATCCAACCTGACCTTGAATGTTTCCAGAGATGGGGCTTCTACCACCTCTCTGGGCAACCTGTGCCAGTGTCCCACCACCCTCAGCATAAACATTTTCTTCCTTATTATCTATTTTTAGTTTTCAGTTTAAGTTATTTTCTAGTCCTTTCTTATTTGAAAACTCCCTTTAGGCACCAGATATTATCACTCTTCAAAACAAACAACAAAATAATACATCAAGAGTTTTTATTTAAAGTCTTTAATCTCCTTAGCATAACTATAGTTCTAGTGCTTGAACTGTGAATCTCTTTCTTGCTCCCTTATCAATCTTGTTTCTTGCAGTTAATTCACCTGCAGAAAGTATGTTATATATTAGGAACATTACCTTTTCTTGATCAACACTTGTTGGTTTAGGTGGCTTGATTAACTGGCTTTCATCAAACAACTCTTGTCTGTATTTAAGTTGGTACTATTCTTCTCAAAGGTATAACAGTCATTCATAGTGTAATACATAATATCAAAGTAAGAAATTTAATTTCACGAGAAGCCAAGGAACTTTACTTCTTTAAAATGATGATGAAATTTAGTCAGTAAAGATTTTCAGAATTAAAAACTAGTTTATGTTCAAGACAGTCTCTCATTTTTCCAAATGATTTTGTGTCAAGCAATGAATAATGTTTTGCTGAAGCTTTCTTTGGCTTTTAGTCAAGTACTATAATTGAATTCATTATTGGAAATTATTTTTGGGCACTGGTAATGAGTGTGTGTTTAAAGTTTTATGGTGATGCATGGTACTTTGAGCTTCAAGTGTATGCCATCTTTTCAGTAGCAGTTTTAATGTAAGAGGTAGTTTGGCTTAAAAGAAACAAACAAATAAAACAAAAAATAAGCATGCCTATGGTGATCAGGCATTATCTATGAGCCAGTCTGCTATTTGTAAGATTGCACTCTAGGCTTTCTGAACTAGAAGCCTTCTTCTCGGTATTACTAAAAGAAACATTCTCACAATAGAAATTGTCAACTTTATTGCAGAGGTTTACTCGGATCATTTAGGTCAATACTTTTTATTCTGCTTGGTTTAATAGGTCATAAGAGCAAAATTTGTTTTCATGGGAAAGGGTAGATTGAGATGCTTAGCAGAAAATTGAGACCCTTTCCCAGCCTGAAGTTAGCACAAATGTAGTACTCTGCAGACAAACATTTCTCTTCCATTTTTCTTCCTTGAGCATCAGTGGGACTGTTGTAGAAGTCAAGCAGGATTTGTGTCTGAACAGTAAACAATTCTGAGTGTGAGGGCCATGAGCACCGTTGCATATTACACAAGTAAAAGCACAGAGACATTATTTATTCAACATCAGCTTTTTGTAGGGTTTGTATATGTAGCTAACCTCTGGATCTACTTTTTGGCAAAAGCAGAGAGTGTGGGAGCAGAACAGCGACAAAGAAGGATAAGAGCTATAGCAGTAAAATTATTCAAGTTTGTTTGGTTCTTGACAGTAAATTGTTCTATGTTTATTAATTGAGAAGGGGCTGACTTCAGAAAGCAAAACTGGAATATATAAAAGAGTATTAGTGTAAATGTTAGATATACTACCCTGAATATGCTGACAGTAAGTAGTAATAACAATCATGAACATATTTTCAACATTTAGCACTGGAAAACTGCATAGCTAGTTAAACTTTATTGTGGAGAATTAGGCTGTAATTTAACCCTTTTCAGCATTTATTATAGGCAATGTAGCTTGTCTGTACTGGACTTTGAAACTTGTTAATTTGCTTGTGCCTTGCAAATATGTCAGCTAATACCTGTTGTCAGCCTACAAAGATCTGTAAATCTGTGGTGTGGTATATTGCATGCTGGTAAAAGCCAAAAGGTTCTGATACTTCAGCCTATGCTTCATTGTAAGCAGTGGTTGCACTGGCTGTGAGGAACATCTATTTACGTGTTTAATTTTGCAGTATTCTTAGTCAGTAGCACTTTTTTTTTTTTTTTTGAGAAACACTGAAGATGTTACTTGTGGATTGCATATTTTCTTCCTTTTTCATTGTCAGTAGATATGGATAACAACTGTGAAAGGAATGAAGAAATAGGACCCATTATTTACCTTCTGTGAAAAGCTTCAGTATTGAATCTCAAATTATGATGTCTTTCATCCATGTGAAGATTAAACCTTCCTAAAACACAGAGAAAGTAATAATCAGGGAAGTTACCATAATAGCATCAGCCTCAGTCACCACATTATTGTTTAATATATTTCAGTTGAAATGTGTGTTCTTCTGGATATCATTATCTTGAAAATTCAAAGCAATTAAATATTTTATTTTTAAAGCAGGCATACCAAATAAAAGCATGCTACAAGATGTTGATGGCTGCAATAAAAATGTCTATGTATCTTCTGTGTGCATTAATAGCAAGGAAAGGGAGAGTTTTAGCTCAAGGAAGGATGCGGCTGTCTTGATGTGTGAGCTTCAAGTAGATAACTGTCAAATGAGAGGGGATTGGTGTTTAAGTGTAGATAATGCATCTTTTAAGAATTTACAAGATAATACAAATGTGAACCAGGTATGAAATCATAGTTTATGCAGTAATGATGGAATTAAAATTGTAGGTAAATGAACCTGGACAGAGCCTACTTCACTTACCTTCACCAGAGAAGTCAGTGGAAACCTAGACAGGTTATCCACTGTCAGGTTGCGAGGTGTTAGGAATTCTCCCTGTTTTCCTTTCAGACTGCAGCTAGTCTTTGTCACTTTGAGAGCTTTAGTCTGAACCAGGGCCACCTGTTCCATGGGTAGAGCAGTAAGCTGGTGTTACTGTTTTTTATGCATGGGTTTGCTCCAGATAAATGATTTCTTGCCTCACTGAGCAGACATCAGGCTGTCCATCAGTCTTTCTACTCCTTGTTTTCAGGGAGTATCCAGCAGAACCTGTAAGGATTTATTGCCTTGAGGTCCATGGTAGCAGAGTGACATTACAAAATATTGATCACAGCAATAAACTTCTCTCAAGGGTTTACCCTAATGAATATTGAAAAATAATTAATTTTGTTTTGTTCTGAGTGTGTATCACTGTTCTGTACTGCAGACCAAGAGTCTGAACAAAGCCATGCAGTAAGCAGAACACTCAAGCTCCTTTCTGGGTGCCATGTGCACATCTTCCTCAACTATTCTGTAGGTGACAAAGACTAACTTCAGGTAGGTGAAACTGGGGTCTATAAGCTCCCTCTCTAGTTACTGTAGTCTACAAGGAGGGATGAGGAGACCATCAGTGTATTTCTGGTTTATAACTGCCCATCTTTCTCTCCACTGACTACAAAGAGATGTCGAAGGAAGCTTATATTTCTAGTTTAAATTTGGTGGTTTTGGGGTTTCCCTTTATGTCATCTATTTGTTTGGACACCAACTGCTGTCAAATCTGAGCCCATCTTAGCAATACAGAGATTTTAATAAAAATAAACAAAATATATTTTAAGAATTGACTTGTAGTACTTCATATTCAAGTTCTTTTCAACTTCAGTCTTTTTCATTTTGGCAGCACCAAAACAAAGAGACTCCTTTCTGGGTAGCCCAGATGTCATTGATACTGCTCCAAGAAGAAAGCGAAGACAAAGGACAGCAAAGGGTGCTGGGACAGGAGCTAAAATGGCTACTTATGAGACAGAACTGCCAGCCAAGGAAAAGTAAGCAGTTTTCAAATGTATTGAATATTTGTATATTTACAGATGTTGGAGAGTTTGTGGCTTGGGTTTTTTTGTGTGTTTTCTTGTGCAGTTTCATATTTCAAACTGCATACTGTTGTGTTGCATTCTGTATAGTAATTTACAGTAATTTTACCCAATTTTGAATAGATGTGAATGATTAAATTGTCAGGCCAAATGACTTACTGATATTAATACATAAAGTGATGACTGTAAAATTATTTTCTTTAACTGACTTGGATAACTCTAAACAAACAGATTGAAGCCTACTAAAATAATGTTCTGTAGGTTACTGTATAACCCAGCAGGCAAAGAAGGATGCATTTATAACAAATATCAAAACTAAGATGGACAGCTTCCGCTGAGTTGTGTCACAAAAAATAGTAGCATTATAAGTGTCTTTTTTAATGGTGAGGGTGGTCAAATAGGGGAATGGGTTGACCAGGGAGGCTGTGAAGTCTCCATCTGTGGAAATATTTAAAACCCAACCGGGCATGGTCCTTGACAACCTGCTCTGGTTTAGCAGTCTCCAGAAGTCACCATCCTGTCATTCTGTCTTTGTAATTTCAGTGGAAATGAATTCACAATACCATTTGTAATAGACCAGAGTAGATTTCTTTTGAAAATAAGATCAGAGGGGAGAAAAAAAGAATTCATTCTTAAACACAAGGGGAGCAGAATTTATAACACTTAATAAAAGTCTTTTTCTTCTGATATCACTCTTGACTTTTGGAAATATTGTCATGTGCTCTGGGAGGTGCTTAGTTATGCGTAGAATTACCTCGGAGCTGCAATATGATTGGTAGTATCTTCTTCTGAAACGGACCTTTTTTAAAGATATATGGTAAGTTAGATTTGAAAATAGTTATTTTCCCTTTTTTTTCTGTAATATCCAATGGATAATAAAATGTTTAAATAATCATGGACACAAGTAGACTACAAAGACATTTCCCATGACTAGCAAAGATTTCTGTTTAAATCGACAAGAGAATTATCTTATTTTGACATAGAAGGTTGTGGCTTGATGCCAGCTAGGAATGTTTAAACTAACAATCCTATTTTATTTGTAAAAAAATGTATTTTTTTTTAGAATGGTCTTGAAAAAATTCAGGTTCTGTTCTTACGTTCTTTTAAAACCTAGTCTATTACAATGAACAATGCTCTTTCCTCACTGGATGTAGTCAGCTTGATTTTGAGAGTCTGGCTGTGTTTTCCTGAAATACAATTTCACTCTCTTTAGTATTGATTGTGGAAGGAAAACCTACAGAGGCAAATGATTGCAAAGGAGAATATAGAGCCTTTTGGTTGAGTAATGCTCAGTGGATGAGTATCTGAGTCCTGTGTGTAGAGGAAGCACTAAAAGGATATTGATGCTTTTGTTCTAATTCCTTTAAGTCAGGCAAATTATTGAAAAAAGAGAGCAACGTTATGTTTTTCATACTGTGCAAGGCATTTCTAATATGCTTAGAGAATCAAGTCGGAGCTGAATCTGAAGAGTGGCTCTTCTTGGCTGTAACATAATTAGTCATATTTTAAGGCTTACCATATGGAACATCCATTCTATCAGTGTCTATCCCCATTTTTCTTTTTGCATTAAATATGTATGGATTGTATTGTAAACAACAACTTTCCACTACAGGTCACAACATTGCTTGGCGTGTCACATGCCTTCCAGTGCTGTGAAGGTGTATCTGACAATGAAAGTTCCATATTTCTCTATGATCCTGTGTTAACAACAGAAATCAAGTGTGGTATTGCTTGATACTGGTATATGTTTTTTAATCCTTTCTTTATTTAAAAATACAGTGGCAGTGCTAATTCTTTGATTAGATAAGAAGATACTAGATCTCCGCATTTACCTGGTACATCACAAAAGCCGAACTGTAATCATTTCCATTTTGCTTATTATTTTTCTCAATGTCCCTGCTTAGTTCTTGGGTTTTGAACTTCCTCTTAAGTCTTTTGCCAGCTGCTAATCAACCTTTCACTCAATTTGCTTGACTAGTAATTTTCCCTTCTCTTCAGCCTGTCAGAAGTAGGGAGATGTAGAATTAGTATCATAATCCAGTTCACAAATATAAACGTTTCTTTTTATGAAGCCTCTTCAGTAATTTGTACTGACAGAAGGCTAGATCCTACACGGTGCAAAAGGCTTTGTCTTAAGCTGATGGTACATTGGGGTCCTGCCCAAAATGTTTTCCAGTATTGTGTCACTTAGCAAAAAATTACTAATCCAAGCAAACCACCCCAGCCTGCTGGGGCGGCAGGGAGGCGGGGAGGAAGTTAACCTCTAAATTCCTTCACCTTTGGAAATGCTCCATCACAAATATGGAAGATGTACAGCCCTTGAAAACATGTCATGCTTTTCAGTTTGGCAGGAGGATCAAATGACAGATTGTGATCGCATTTGCAAATGCACGAATGAATCCTAATTTTTCTGCGCTCTCCTGCACAGACCTGCAGAAAGATTTTCTTCTTTACTCGTATACGTGAATACTTTCAGGTGTTATCACATAAAATCGTATCCCACAGTTCTTGCTTTAACAAACTAAAGCTTATTTAGAATTATTTTCCATTTGCAAGTTTTGCTGACATCATCAGTGCTTGTTTAATGTTTGCCAGGCAATGAAAGGGCAGTTACAAACCAAACATCAAGGGCATAATATTGTCTTTATATTATTGCATTGTAAGTCAATTGATACAAGATCCTAAATCTGAAAAAAATACCTCTTTTACTGAAAGAGAGCATCCAAGTTTTTGGGGGGATTTTTTGGCTTTCAGATTGTTTTTTGAAAATACAATGTTTTTCAACACAGTCATTGTTATCACATAATAGGAATGACATCTTAACTTTTCTATATTTCTCCTAAGATTTTAGAGTATGATAAGAAAGTACCATTTATGCTTAATGTTAAAAGCATCTAAAGTAAATACTGAGTCATGAAAAATTAAAGGATTCTATTTCCACAAATATGTTAGATTTATGGATGTTGAGGCTAGTTATGTAGCCTCTGGTCCTTTGGAATGAAAATATATTCTTAGATATGACCAAGAATACTAAGAAGAATGCAAATAAAAATCTGTTTAACATAGAAATTAGAGCAAAAGGAGTACTACCTTTCTCATGCTTTGTGTGTGGGTGCAGTGGCAGGGAAAGGAGTTGAATTGTATTTGTCTATATAGACATCTAGTATTGCTGTGACAATTTATTCAAGAACTAAGCCACCGTTTTTGATGAAACTCAGAAATGTGCTTTGGATAATATTAAGCTTAATGAAAGTAGTATAGACATGAGATCAGCAAAGACCTGAACTGGGATTTATGGAACAAGGTTTGCTAAATGAACTGTTTAATTATTTGCTGAGCTAAAGATGTGCTTTAGGATAAAGTAGAAATTCAGAATACTTAGTTGGTCAGTGAACTGCCGAGATTCAGATTTATCCAGCTCTTTAGCTGAGATATCAAATGAAAGGAAATGCTTCTTTAAGCAGACAGATGTTTCTTATAGTTGATAAGTCAAATTATGGCTCACAATTTACACATTTTTAAAATAGGACAAAGGATGGTTCTTACAGTACAAAACATGGTTGAATTAGGAAGTAAAATAAAGTTATTCTGATTCTGGTAAACTGTGATGGCATGGGTGAAGCTTTAACTGTAACTTAATATCTGGCAGTATCCTAAGGTGCAAAACAGAGATAATGTGTAAGTTACGTTAAGATGCAAATGCTACTTTTGACAATTTGCATTTCATACTTGGAGGAGAAAAATTAATAAGAGCAATCTCAATCTACAGTTAGAAATCATACTTATTGATGCATTACCCAAATCTCTCGGGGGACTGCATATGAATAACACTGTTAGCTATGTAGAATATGCATTCAATATAGAGGCTTAAGTGTATGGCCTGTCAGCCTAAATCCTATAAATAATTGGATGTTTCTATAATAATTTCACTTTAGAAGTATTGGAACCCATTTAAGAGAAGATAGTACCTACTGAAGACAACATTTTTTTTAATATAATTTTGGAGATTAAGCATAGACACTGAATACAGAATACTTTGTGTAGTTTGTACACTCTGTAGTCACAGAGTACAGTGAAACCCAACCACTAAAACATGAAAACAAAAGTAAATCAGGAAAAACCTTCCTTTTCTAGTAGAGCTTAAAACTATTACTTTATTTCCACAAGTAAAAATCTATCTTCTGCTTTATCATGTTTTTTTTTTTTAAATTTAAAGAGGTAAGAAAAACTGAGCCTTTTTTTTTCTGTCTGTCTTTTATTTCTTACTCATAAAGGATCTGGTTTTATGGTCCTCATTCACACATGGGTTTCCTAGGAGGAAGGCTTTACTGGATAAGACTCAAAATTTCTATAAGTTATTCTGTATGTTTCAAAATGTAATCCATTCTGGCTGCTGCATAGTGTGTATAATTTCTTTGCTATTGAATGTGTAGATACTGTTGAGGATATGTACAATTACAGAAGTGGTTCGGGGGAAAGCATCTGAAATAAAAGAAAACCCTTATTATGGGTGCATATATGCTGTATTCTCCTGAGAATAAGAGTAGAGAAAACCAAAAAATGTTATTACAGAGCTTCATAATTCTGAGAAGCGGGTGGTTACTTTTAATTCAACTGATTGTGAAATAACGGGTATTTATTTGCTTGCCTTTTCTATAAAGAAACGTGTTTGCACCAAGCACTCTGACTTTGACTTACTAGTTATTCTACATGTCAAAAATTTCAATTTCATATGTATAAGTCTAGTTTTGTGCATTTGATGTAGCTGTTTACTGTCTTCTTTTTCTTTTTTTTTTTTTTTTTGATTGAAATTTGACTTTTCTGGCTTGATACTTCTTGCTTGACTGATAAAACTGAGTGACTGTCAGAATCAGGCCTACATTTAAATTGAAGGAAATAGGTGCTTTTCCTTCATTTAATTATGTTTGGTTTTGCTGAAATGTTGAGGTACAGTCATAG